AGTTAGCATAAATCAGTTGAATGATGAAATTAGGTGTCTATTTACTTGTGACCACTCAGTGTACTAGGATGATACCTGGGATGGTGGGATTGTCCCATGAGGAGAGACTAAAATTTCTAAACTTGTTTTCTCTGGAGAGGCAAAAGGTCAGAAGGGATTTGACTGAAGTTTTTAAGATTATTAAGAGTATTGATAATATAGCTTCAAACTGTTTGTGTTCAGCATCAAAAATTCAGCATAAATTCAAATTTTGGCAGCATAGGAGTCATCTGCAGTTTACACAGTATTACTTTTCAAACAGGGTGGTTGGCTTTTGGAATGAGCTGCCTTCAAGGGTGAAGTAGGCAGAAAATTTAACTAAGCTCAAGAAAAGATTGGATGAATACATGAGTAGTAAGGGGTGGTTAGAGATGGGAGCTGGAAAAAACATCCTTGATGGGCTAATAAGCTTCTTTTTTGTAACTTTAAAATTTGATGAATTTTTATGTATTTTTTAAAACCAGCTTTATGAAAAATGGAATTATTAGTCTTATTTCTTAAAATGCTATTTTTCAAGAGAAGTCACTTAAATGAAGACCAGCTATATGTTTTGAAGTACATACAAGTAGGTTATATAATCAGATGACAATCAAGAATTGGCAAGTTCCTGTTTATAACAACAGTCAATTTCTCATACTTTTGTTTTTGCATTTCGTTTACTTATATTTTCCTTTACCATTAAATCAGCTATTGAAATTAAAAAAATACTAAAAGCTTACAAATTTATGAACATAGTCATTTTCTGTAAACAAATATTCATTTTTGAATTTACATATATCAATATTTAGTTTTTGTTTTCATATATATGTGATCTGTCAACAAATTTCTTTACCTACAAAACTGCACAAATAAAAAGTTTTTCTTAAATGCTATTATCAAATAAACATACAATATATTCTTACTATTTTACCTGATCTAAAATGCACTAGTATTATAGCTTATATTCTCATTCTTGTGTAACTAGTATAAAACATAATTTTAATCATGTATATACAGGTACATTTTCTTAATTTTCATGCAGGCATTTTGCATGTAGATATGACATTCTTGTTAACCACTTGTACAAAAGCCTTCTATTAACTCTTTCAACATGGGCCTGGTCCCTGGGACTGACCTCGTAACCATTTTGTGCTT